GTTTCCCTAACTACCTTATAGACCAACAAATTAGAATATTCCTCCCCAAAGCAAGTAATAATGATAGCGAACACACAACTAAAAATCACATACACATTTATTACAAAAACCAAATGCATATTAATTACAAGCAAGATGAATCTGCTCTAAGACATATTATAAAGAAATATACTACTCCTATTGACCCGGATAAAAAAAAAAAAAATCAAACTTATTATCTATTATAAAAAATTTAAGACGGCCAACCTTATCCTCAAAAATAACAACACACCAACGAAGTCAAAATTACAAAGAGCGAACATTATCTATGAGTTCAAATGCCCTTTAAGGAACTGCGTTCCTCACCAAACCGGACTCATAAATAATTACATCGGCTACACAACCACATGTTTATCCAGACGTCTTACATTACACCTATCTGATCACAGTTCCATCAGAACACATTTAAAACACACTCAGATTTACCCGACACTATTGGAACATACTAGCAGAAAACACTAATATATTAACTGCATCCACTTGCAAAAAAGACTAAAAATAATGGAAGCTCTAATAAAAAAAAAAAAAGCCAACTCTAACAATATCAATTATGAAAAGCCACAATGTGCTAACCGTATTGAAACTAAAACATCACTACACACTGAACATACATAGAACACACACTCTACTAAGCTGATAATTGAACCATCCTTGATAATGGCTAAAAGGTATAGCCGAAAGCGCTCGGAAACACAGAACATTCGGACAGTTCTTACACAATCTTTGTCCAGAAAAAAAGCTCTTGTCAGAACACAAGAAAATTAAATAAAAGCTCAACTGTAGTACCTTGTCTGTCGTTTTTAATGAAACATGCATAAAGGAAGGATTGCTGCCTAATTATACAAATATATATATATATATATATACATACATATATATGTGTGTGTGTGTGCATGTGTGTATGTGTATATATAAGTTTAGGTGCTATTAGTGTTTTTAGGTATCCGTTCGGTATCCGTTGGGGGCGGGAGGGGGTGTCTACAGTATATAAGAGACAGATTTCCATGAATTTAGAAATTAATTTCTTTTTGCAGTTGTAAAACGACATTATCAATTATTAAAGCATGGTAATATGTTTTTATACGAGTACACAATTTCGGAAAATCCTTGTTGAAAACACAACTATACTTAAACATGAAAACAATAAACAAAAACTAAAAATTCTTGAAGCTATATACATAAAACAGTCGAAAGCTAACCTGAACAAAATATACTACGAATTTCCACAAATATTCTTAAATGCCTATAATTGATAACAGATGCCATTGGTTTATACCAACGGCTTTCCATACTTAATACTTCTCGTTTTCACTCTCCCAGCTGCGCTAGTTGAACTGTCTGCCTTCGAGCAGAGAGGAACCCGGACGAGGCTATGCCGAAAGGCAGAGTTTAGTCCGGTGAGGTAGACACACCTCATCCCGTTTATGCGGGGTCTACGGGGATTTTTTGGCCGAGCCTCCGGGCTCGGGAACCCCACTTTAAATTCGGCCTTGTGCCACATAAGACTGCGTGGGGCAGTTACTAAATAGCGTCATGTGTGACGTCACGAGCTGCGACGCGATTTTCGCTTCCGCGTCTTGTATACACGAGTTTGTCGTTGCTTTGAAATTTGTCATGCAACAAAAACAGATTATTGTTTCGTCCGTGTTTTGTTTGATATATTGAAATGTAATTGTCATCTGTGATAATGGCTTATGTAAGCCGAAAGCTAAGATTGGATTTAAACATGTATCAATATGGTGATTTCCTTTCGTCTTTCAATGATAATGTTATTAACCTTATCAGACAATATGAAAGGAACTTAAAACAAATAGACAAAACTTGTCTATATTATTTAATGAAACATGCATCAATATATATATATATATATATATATATATATATATATATATATATAGAGAGAGAGAGAGAGAGAGAGAGAGACAGAGAGAGACAGAGAGAGTAATGAGTTCAATTCTCAGGGTGTTCATATTTGTGGACTTGTACCATACTAAGCTAATAGTTAAAACTATAATACATAATACATTTGGGTAAAATCTACTATGTATATGTTTCTGTATGTATGTGCATATTTATATATAAAATTACACACACATACACACACAAAGCTATAAATTATATACATGTATATATTTATACATGGACTTCTGTACACTCACACATACGCACGCGCACAGCACACACTTATATGCATGTGTATATCTCTTAATATATATAAAGTAACCTCTGTGAGTCTGTTTGTTATCGAACTCCTAGTGTTTTGGGGATAGACCCCCATAAATATATATATTCTGAAACTACATTACTCGGGATACTTGGAGAAGTACATTTTTATTTTGATCAAAGAGGGTTCCCGGGGTGGGGTAGGGACACAAATCTCCCACTGAAAATCTTTCTCCCTTTGATATGAATTAAATTTAAATTTTAACAAGGGAATGACTCGTAGGGTACTTGGATAAGTATATTTCATTTTGTTCAAAGGGAGTCCTCGGGGTACAACCCCCGGTGTTTTTTTTTCCATTTGAGTTAAATTAAATTTAAATTTGAACAATGGAATGACTCCTATCCAAAATATAGAAGGAGAAAGCCAGAAGATGGTGATCACGTCGGCAAGATTATTGAGTAATTATTATTTTCTAACAAAAAACTGTGTGACACGAAGCAAGGCGCGGGTAATTCGGCTAGTTTATATATAAAGTTACACACAAACATATACATGCGTATATTTATACATGAACTTCTGGAAACACAAACATACATGCTCGTACGCACGGACACACACACGCACACACGCACACATACAATGAATAAAAAGGGCACTGTAGGAGAGTTATCTATTCACATTTGGGACATTTTTTGTAGATGGAGAGAGTTTTGCGGATGATATATGCAGTATCGTTAAATGTAATCTTTTGTAGATTTGAGATGCTGATGTGTCTAGGAATATTACTGAGATGATTTTCGGTACAATTCTTTATCATAGCCATTACCCTTATCACAACAAGGATAATTGTGGTTTTAACTTGATATAATTTGAATTTTTGAAATTGGTTTTTAGAAACATTTGAATCCTGTGGACAAGTCATATCAGTTATTTGGCAAGTTGGTTTTTCGAAATCTTTGTCTGCTCTACTTGCATCAGTTTTGCTATCTGTATTCGGGACTTCAATATCAGCGTTTAAACAGCCGTGCCTGTAATATTAATGTATTAGACTGGGCACCCTGAAACAACGTGGTCAACAATTTCATCTAATTTATGGCATGGCGGGATTTGAACCATCATTGTTGATTTTAGACTTGTAGGCATTAGTTGAAAAACGTTATTATTATTATTATTATTATTATTATTATTGTTATTATTATTATTATTAACAGTTTCCTTGATTTACTGTGTGATGCAATAATTTATCTGAGCGTATTGAATTAAAAGAAATTATTTGAGTATGTTAGCGGTTCTCGTTAATACAGTCTTTAGTATTTGAGATAGGGAAGTGTTTTTTTAATGTATGCATTATTATGTATGTATCATTTATTTCATCTGTTCTGAGTTATTATATTACCGTTGGAGAAGTAGCTGGCTTTAAATACCACACTACTAAACATGTAAAGTATATATATATATATATATATATATATATATATATATGTTGGTAATACTAGCTTGAATAGATGATCAATTCCCCACAGTGCAGTTTTCTGAATTTCTTGTAAACAAGTTCCACCAAGGATTTTATGAATGTTCTTGCCTGTACATTTTTATTGTAGCCAGGACTCCAGGTATTATAGGTGTAACAGTAGTTTTAATGTACCACATTTTTTCCAATTTCAATTTCCATATCTTTTATATTTATTTAATCATATTTGTAACTGATATATTCTCATACGATAACACTGAGAAGTAGTTTTTTTCTGTTGTATTAGTTTTTATATGATTGATTCGGCATGGTGTTCATTTTTCAGTATATGGCGTAACTGTAATTCTTCTTCTTCTTTTCTTCTTTTTTTTCTTCTTCTTCTTCTTCTTCTCTGTTTATTTTTTCATTTTCTATTTTTCTTTTGTCGCTCTTTTTCTTTCTTTTTATACTTTTTTCAAATTCTTGTTCTATTTCTTCTTATATTCCTTTACTATTTGCTTTGGTCGTTTTCAGTCCGTTTTCCTTTCTTCGCTTTAACAATTTCTTCTTGTTTTATTTTTATTCATTTCTCTATCTGTCTCTCTCTCTGATTTACTTTCTGCTTCATACTGGGCCCAGTTTTTTTCATTTATTCTTTATTTCCGCTTATTCCTTATAAATTTACTCTTTAATAACTAAAACCTTTCTTTCTTTTTTTTCTTTTGTGTTTGCTACTCTTTCTTCTAATTCATGTCTTTTCAAACCAATCCCATAAAAATTCTTAACGTTTTCCTCTTTCTTTTTATCAATTTCTTAACATACTACTGATCCTTTCCTTTTATACAAGTTCATCAACTTCTTTTCAAACTTCACACTCATTCTAGAAATTATCTGTTGCTCTAATCAGTAACTCCCTCATTTCTCCTTCTTTGTCAGTCATTAAACATATCTTCTTCTTCATTTTCGTTTCGCGCCAAAACTTGGCGCCATCTGTTAATTAAATAAACACCAACTACATGGTAGTGGGTTCACACCACTGGCTAAACTACACATAGGTTCTCAGACAAACACTCCCCGCGACCGAAACCTAGACCTTTCCCCAGCACTGTGTATTATATATAGCCAAAGACCGTGAAATGACAAGAAGGTAGGGTATGAGGTAAAGAAATGTCGAATTGCTGGGTGCCTACATTCACATGTGTCTGGCAGAGTTCATTATGTTTACACTGAAAGTAACGAATCTAATTGTGCCGAAATCTTTCGTTCGGGTTGCTTGTCGGTGTGTAGATCTTTCTATGTTATCGTTTTACCTAAGGTGGAGACAAGAATGGACGAGAAGAGGTTATTATGTTGTGGCTATTCTTGTACACGTTCACATGTGTTTCGTGCCGTTTCTTTTTTTTTCTACTTTTGACTTCATTTACCTTTTATCTATCTATCTATCTATCTATCTATCTCTCTATCTATCTATCTATCATATTCTGTTCGTATCTATCTATCTATCATATTCTGTTCGTATCTATCTATCTATCTATCTATCTATCTATCTATCTATCTATCTATCTATCTATCATATTCTGTTCGTATCTATCTATCATATTCTGTTCGTATCTATCTATCTATCTATCTATCATATTCTGTTCGTATCTATCTATCTATCTATCTATCTATCATATTCTGTTCGTATCTATCTATTCTATCTATCTATCTATCTATCTATCTATCTATTCTGTTCGTATCTATCATATTCTGTTCATCTATCTATTCTATCTATCTATCATATTCTGTTCGTATCTATCTATCTATCTATCTATCTATCATATTCTGTTCGTATCTATCATATTCTGTTCGTATCTATCTATCATATTCTGTTCGTATCTATCTATCTATCTATCTATCTATCATATTCTGTTCGTATCTATCAATCTATCATATTCTGTTCGTATCTATCTATCTATCTATAATATTCTGTTCGTATCTATCTATCATATTCTGTTCGTATCTATCTATCTATCTATCTATCTATCTATCTATCTATCTATCTATCATATTCTGTTCGTATCTATCTATCTATCTATCTATTTATCTATCTATCATATTCTGTTCGTATCTATCTATCTATCTATCTATCATATTCTGTTCGTATCTATCTATCATATTCTGTTCGTATCTATCTATCTATCTATCTATCTATCTATCATATTCTGTTCGTATCTATCTATCTATCTATCTATCTCAATATATTTATATCAATAATTTTACTCATTTTAATATATTCTATTTTCTTTATCTGTTCCTTGCTATTTTATCTTTCTTCTCTTTCTTTTTTTCTTTCTTTTTTTCTTTCTCGATATATACAAACAAAATATGACTCATCATCGCCTCAGATCATCCCTTTCATCATCCCTTTCATCATCATCATCAAGACCTCTATTCCTAATGGCTGCAGCAGTACCAACAACAACAGCAGCAGCAACTGCCCAGGTTAGATCTCATTAGTCCTATCCCTTTGGGAGTATCAACGGCGAACCAGTCAATGTTTCCCAAATCTGAAAGTCATCGTAAAATAGATATATTAACGAGTTCATTCAGAAAACTTCCAGTGTCACTGTTCCTGTTTTGTAGGAAATCATATGTCTCTAGGCTTCCACTCTGTTCAAATGCAAATAAGAAATTTGCAATAATATACGAACCTTTCTTTCTCTAAATTTTATAAGAAGCTTTTTCCTTTTGATATTTAACACAATTTTTATTATATCTTTATCAAAATCATAATTTAATATTTACCAATAAATATTTAATAAGTATTCAGTGCCAAATTAAATTAGGAAGATCGTGTCTCACCAGATTTGTAAGTTGCAAATATTTTCTTACATAGAGAGAAAAGCTTTCGAGAAATTAATGGAAATGACTATTTAATTTACTAAACAGAACAAATATCTATTTCTTCTTCTGTTAGTTGCGTCCCTTCAGGAGAGGCGATCAGGGCACTCCACAACTTCTAATACCTTGTGGGCATTATCAGTTTTTCTTCTTTTGCTAAGGCTACATTATTCATTCACACAAACTTGTCAGGTAAGTGGGTCAGTATGTCCCGTGAGGGTTAAATTTTGCAAACCTTCTTTCCTCATTACTTGCCCAAGTAATTTTAGCTATGTCTTCCTGATTTTGAGTAGGTGTTCTTTTTGCCTCCATTTTGTTTAAGATTTCCTTGTTGCTTACTCGCTCTGTTCATGGAATTTTCAGTATCCTTCTGTAGAACCACATTTCTGCTGCTTCCAGTTTTCTCTTCATCCGTGAGGAGATTATCCAACATTAACTGCCACATAAAAGGAGGGATAACCTTTAGCAATCCAGCACTAAGTTTATCGATTTATCGGTATCTTGCTTAACTTTTGGAATGCTTCTTTAGATAGTTTAAACTACTAAACTTTACACTTACGAATGTTAGACATCCAGTGAAATGGTACTAAACTATACGTATGGGTCACCAAAGAAGTTACGATCCCGAGTCCCGTAACCCCTGAGGATAGTAGGGACACCACATGTACTCCAGGAGTAGCAGCAGTGGTATATGTTGAACAAGATTCAGGTTGGTTTAAATTAAGAGTTTTCATTCTCCTTGGATGGTTGCTAACCAAGGCTAGAGAGCGTAGTCTATTCTGCTATTTATCCATAACTTTCGGGTGAGGCCGTGAAGAGATGGATTCATAATTTTACCAAAAAATATTTGTAACGAATTCGACTGGATTTCGATATCGGCTCTCACGCCTAAACGCCATTCATTATGCTACCTGCACATCCACCAAATGAGTACTGAACTCATTCCAGTAACAATAGACAAGCATGATTAATTTGCAACCAACTATTTCACAGTAATTTGCACATAGGTATCCATTCATTCCCTTAAATTCCATTATGGGTTTTAAACATGGACAAGCAATGGCTTGTACATTTTAACGCTTCAAAAACGAATTAACTATCTTTTACTCAGTATAGGTAACCTTTTCTCCTCCTACCAACAAGCCTAATGCTAACTTTCAGAGAGCAACATTGCGCCTTTTGACATGAAGTGGAGTGATTATATTGAATTACTTGCTAGGTTTGATGCTAGGAAAGTTGGTTCACTGTGTCATAACAGGTTTTTTTCTCGTCAGAACCCACCTTACACATTTATAAATCTAAGATTCGAACCTGCATTGAATATGGCTGTCATTTCTAGTTTGATAGTCCTGATATATATCTCGAGATTCTTAAGAAAATATAAAGAAGGGTCTATAATGTTATTGGTCCTGACCTGGCATCTCGATTTCAGTTACTTGTGGCTTCCTTCTCTCTTTTCTATAAATGTTTTCATCGCATTTGTTCTAATGACCACTCCTTAGCACCTCGATTATATGAATGTAAGAGTACTACTAGATGGGAAATTAGGTCTCATCGTTTAATCGTTAAATAGTCAGATGTAACTATAAGTTCTATTCTAAGGTGTTTTTTCTCTCATTTCTCGCCTGTGGAACATTTTTGTTTTTGCTTCTTTGCCACCTACAATCTTTAAATATTTAACTACAAAGTCAATCACCATCTTCTGTTTTTCTGAATTTTGTTCTTTTATTATCGTTTCTCCTCACTAAAGTCTTCTCATTCTCTTTCTCTCTCAGTAACCTTTTTTGTTTTAGTAGCATTATCACATTGTTTGGGGTGAAATGATTAAAAAAAATACTTGTAACAAAATGAAATTAATGAAGTGTGGGTAGAATAATAGATATCGGCGCGGAAAGTGGAATAGGTTCTGGCCTTGTCTGTTGCGTTCACTTTCGCACAAATATCCTCAAGTTATTAATGAGTCTGTATTCCTCCACCACCAAGCTATGTTTTAAATAGCAGAATGGTCTGGATTGCAACCAGCCTCAAAGAAGGAAAACTCTGAATTCAAAACCAGAAGGCAACGGAAACCACTAAATACACTGATGATAAAAAGAATCTGTGGAGAGTCATGATCTGAATATACATGGCATTAAAAATATAGAGTAAAGTGATAAGTAAAACAAAACGTATTAAAATATGACTATATTCTTATACATATAATTTTTTTAACTTCTTTTAACTTAATAGAAATCTAGCGAAACATTGAAAACGTTTATATGATTTGTTAAAAAAAGAAAAATTGCTACAATAATGTAAAAGTATTATATACAAATAATAAGATTCAAATATTTGTCTATATTATAATAATGATTATAAATTATTGTTTTTATTTATGAAAGTGGCTGAAGTAGACCAAAAATTATGATCCAATGTTATTTCTGTATTATAATAATGATTATAAATTATTGTTTGCATTCATGAAAGTGGTTGACGTATATCAACATTTGGTGCCAAAAAAATTATGCCGTTGACATAGATTTCAGAATGTCTTACGCATATAAGATTGACGATATGTATTATTTGTAACAGATTTCGAAACGCATAATCTGATTAAAATTGCTAGCATCTATAGTAGTTCCGGATTTTTTGTGGAGTATATCCTTCCTTTTCTAGATTCACCTTGAACTTGCAATTGTACCAAAATTTGGTAATAAGTTCATAAAGTGCATGTTAACACTAAATGCATATGTGGTTCACCGAGTACAACAGCCGCAGAGTGCAAAATTAATATGGCACCTGTCAAAAATGGTGATAAATTCAAGGAAAGACTTTCCCATGGGCCGTTGTGACGTGCTGAGCATTGAAGCTCTAGGCAGTAAAAGGGAGTTCAGAATCTCGTCCTTTCGCTGATCAGTTGGTCTTTGTTGGGGCGAAAATGTCATTTTGTCATTCAGTTAATAAATGTTTGTAAAGAGCTACAGAAAACGACAGATTGGCATAAAGAAAGTATCAATACTTTCAAAGAATATGAAAAGTAACAACATTAAATGTTGTTACTTTTCATATTCTTTGAAAGACTTTACGAGGTGGCACCGAAATGTTCTTAGCCCGACCAAGAATATATTCTCCAAAAAATTCTGATGTCACTTGCAAAGATTTCAGTTAGTGGATTGATTCTAGAATATCCATGTGGGAATAAACAAATTTTCCACGTTCTGTCTAAATTTCTGAGATGAAGTATTATGTACACTATTTACATTATTCGGATTATTGTCCTCATCTTTGTTGCCATATGTGGATAAAGTCGTTAGTTAGAACCAGTGACAGGACCCAAAGAGTATGAGTTCAATACCTGGTTAAGGCAATGGATAACTTGGAATGGGTAATTAACAGGAGATAACTGGTAACTGACATCCATTAGACATGGAATGTGGAACTAGAACAGTTTACCCCAGCGAGCGAAATAAAGGGTTCAGTTCGATATTCCAGCCACTTGAAGAAGGCTGGTGCGTACAACGGCCGAAACGTTGTTATAAATATAGCGACAAAGATGAGAACAATAGTCCAAATAGTGTAAATAGTAAACAAATTCTTATTGGCGAGACATTTTAAATGTGTCCAATTGTTTGCTATCAAATACAGACATTGTATAAAAATATTGCAAAATCTATATTACAGCTTGAAGTAAATGTAGTGTTCTGGTTAAAAAGTTTTTAGTCTAATACAGAGTCCTGTATTAAATAGATGCTCTAGTACTGTATCCGAGTGACGATGTCAAGCCTAAGAAATATTTTTATATTAGAACGCTTGCTGCAACGTGAGCATTAGCGAACTAGGTTTAAAAACTATTGGCAGTGAGTTCGTTCCTTAGTGAATGTTCCAGTATTTTCACCTTAACTAATAACCAATAGATGTAGATAAGGACCTGCTTCCATAATGTTAGCCAAACTGAAAAATAAACAAAGAGAATTTATAAAGAAAACGGTTACTACATTACTATATTGAAATTTGTGTTTGTATGTACAGACATCTCGGTTAAACAGAAAGTTCCGGGAATGCTGGAGTGTTTTGCACGGTTAATGACTAAGCTCCAGTAAATAATACAGGCGATGTGATTGAGCTCATGGGTTGTAAAAATTCACCAGAGGTTATCACAGATCAGTAGCATGCGATATCGTACTAAACTTGGGTTACAGTAAAAAAAGAAGAAGATGACAATGAGAGATAACACAGATAAGATTATAGTCGATTTCTGAAGTTACATGAGGTTAGTTGAGATAGTTTGTGTCCGTTGTCATGTGTATTGCATCTAAACAATTAAATTGGGACGTGGGGCTAACTTAGACAAAAAAAAGAAAAAGAAAAAAGATAACAGCATAAGTGGTGCTGAT